ATTGAAAACTATCAATTGATATGTCTTCGTTATATTATACTTGTTATATTTTTGACAGATTTGATGCATTGATATTTATTAAATATATTTATAAATATTTATAATATTTATAAATTACATATTTCATAACTAAATATATGTTACATATATATAAACATGTTGAAATGTTGTACAAATGCAAACAATGAAAGTTCTTCATTATATTTTTAATAAAAAAGAAAATATTAATATTTTTGATTTTTCTCTTTTAATTTTATGATTGTTTAGTTAATTACTTTGTAAAATCATATGTCCATATATTCATAACAAATATTAATAATATTAAAAATATTATAAAAAATAATATTACTTACCAATAATATTACTTTTCTTGAATCTTTAAATATTTAGATAACTTATACATAAACTATATAAATATTTTTTAATTATTTAATAAAGGATTATTTCATACATTGTAATAAAATTGAAAATAAATTTAAAATTATAATTATATATTTTACGATTATTATTTATTTTCACAATTAATTTAAGGAAAAATTGAAAATTGAACATAGAAATATTATATATTTTTTCTTTTCTTTCTTAATTGAAAAAACTTAATTTTATAAAATTCAGGACTAAACAGTCGACAATAGTAGTTCATAGAAATGTTTTCCGTATAAGTTAAAAAATTTATACTAATAAATCCTATGATTCAGTTTGAAATTTAAAATTAATTAAATTAATAACTTGAACAATCCGGATACCGATATATATATATACATATGGTTACAGATTACATAATGTAGTTATAGATTAACATAATAAATATATATATATTTATTATTTTGTTTAAATTTGAGCATGTAAGTAAAGTATATAAAAGATATATACATAATTTTAGATTAGAAATAATTTTCTATTTATTATTATAAAATATTTATAACTTAAATTTTTTGATCAACAAAACAATATATTTTATTATATACATTAGATATATAAGCTAATATATTCATGAAATATTTTTGAAGAATTAATTCTAGAAATCAAAACTTTTATGTATAACTCTGTCTATATAGAATAAAAAAAAAATAAAAATACTTTAGAATTTTATGTTAAATTTATTTTTTTATATAATGTTATAATTAAATAAAAAAAATAAAAGTAATAAATAAATGTATATATCCTTTATAAATGAAATTGCTTTTATTTTAGATATACATCACAATTTGTACATAATAAATTTTCATTTGTCATATTTGCATTTGTATCTTTCCTTCTATGATCATTTCTTTATTTAATTAGAGATAATTATTTGTATTAAAAAATTTATTTTTGAATGCATATAAATATTATTTTCTTTTCTAACAATAAACATCAAACAATTACAAGATTTAGATTTAAAAATATGCCTATGAAAGTACAAACTCTTTTATATAGAGTTATATATACCTACTTAATATAATATTGAATATTAATATCAATTAAATTATTGATATAAGAATGAATATAACATAATACCATTTTTTAACATAAGTTACACTACATTGCAGAAAATAATTCCAAATTTTTACTATAAATATTTTTTTTGTTAGAAACTATACAATCGAATATTTTTTTATTAATATTTATTAAGTAACATTATGAATATAAATTAATATTAATTAATAATATGTAATATTCGTAATTAATAAAATCATTAAACTGTATTACAATATTTAAAAAAGAACTTCATATTTTGTATATGTGCGCGCACGTGTGCGATATATAATATATTATACATCACATTTACAATATAATATATAATAAATTATATATTATATATAATTCTAACAATAATTCTAACAATATAACAATTTAATGCTATGTGTAACTTTTTTTCTCATGAATAATGTTTTTAAATATAAGTATATTGTCTACATTTTTTTGATAGGCCTTCAACAATTGACAACATAATTATAATGTTTTTATAAAATTTTTTATTTTTATAACAAAGTAAAATTAATAAATGTTTGTTATAATCTTAAATATATACAAAAATAGAATTCATTTACACTAAATAAATCATAAATAAATTGTAATAAAAGAAAAAAAGATAAGAAAAGCAAAATAATATACTTTTGACATAATTTTACAGTTTAATTTTCTAATATTTTATAAAATATTAAATTAAATATATTAAAAAATGAAAATTATATATATTTAGAAAATAAATGTTAAGTGATTGAAAATTATTTAATTTTTTAAAAATGTTTTATATGATTAAAATTTTTATATTCAAATTTTTTCACTGTACATTATTATATATTAATAAATGATATAATAAATTGCTTTTGTTAAAAATTACATTCTCTTCTTTTTTATTCACATATTACATCAAAATTAATTTTTAATGTTTGTAATTATAACTTGTATCAGATAATTAAAACTCTCATACTAGATGTACAAATATTATTTTGTTTTGTAGCGGCAGTGCAAAGGTAAGTAATTTAGATAATATTATGATAAAGATATGATTAGAAAAGAATGATTTTTATAGACTTGTTACAAAAAGATAAATTATTTATTACTAGAGAGTATTTATATTCATTGTAGAAATTTGTATGAAAAAGATTGCGTTCATGAATACTATTGTCTTTTTAAACTATTTAGTGTGAAATTGAAACATTACTAAATAATAATTTTTTATAGCATATTTTGTGATATATATATATATTACAAAGTATATATATATATATATATATATATATATATAAATATTATAATTTTTAT